CAGTAGTTCCCGTTGTTGTAATTCCTGTAATCTCTACCCACCAGTTTTCCGATCTTTTAGAATTGCCTCTGTCAAGTGGAATTCCAAGAATCTCTAATTCTTGAGCTTTTCCCGTGCTTACAGTCCATCTCTCCTAATGCCCGACCGAGAGAGTACCTTCCAAGTGGATTCACGAACTTTGATATTTTCCTAAATCTTGGTTGCTGGATCTCAAGAATGATATGAATGATTCCACCAATGAATTGTGTTCTTGGATCTCTCAAAAGATGATAAGAATATGTTATACCAATGAGGCACATTGAGACAACCACCATTTTCGTGCAAGAGCATATGCATTTATAATTGGAGATGTATGAGTAGTATGAGCTGTGTAAATCTCTCCAAAATCGTGAACTATGGTTAGCAGCGTAACACTGTCGCTTGAGAGAGGGGGACTTGTCGCTCGAGCGAAGGGTCTATTGCTCAAGCGACGCCTGGGCGAGAAGTGAATAACATTGGTTCTGTTTCTAACGCTCGAGCGATGGTCATGCGTGAGGCTAGTGAAATTTCGGCGCCGCTTCTTCCTTGTTTCCAAACTTGAATTCGAACTCAAACCCTAGGCTACCTAACTCAACTATACAAAATTGTAATTCACTCTTTGACTTTTACACATGTTCAATTAAGTCCTTTTTGTTCACAGAATTGCCAATTACAATATTGAACCTAACAATATAGTTTTCATTTTTCTTTATGTATGTACAATATTATTTTGCTATTTGGAAGTTCTTATTTTTTTAATATTTTATTAGAAAATGCATTAAAAAATTAGAAATTTTTGCACTTTTCGTCCCCAATCTTTTCGAAATTCCTTAACATTTTTAACACTCGACACCCCAAGTTCATTTAATTGCAAATCATGTCTGTACTCCATTTTTTTAGTAAAAAACTGAGTAAAATAATGAATCTGTCATCCCCGTTAAATAAAGAAAACAAAACAACTAAATAAGAAATTGAAGGGAAAATTCAAAATTGTAGTAATACTTCCAAATCTTTTAAAAATTACAAATGGATCATATTCTTTCCCAAAGGGTGGTGATATGGATGAAAATGAACAGAGCACTCGAAACCTATTAAGACAATTCTTTTAAAGAAATTTTGATTTTTGGTGGTAGTGGGTGGTTGGAGTGGCGGCGACTAACTTGAGGTTTGGGCGGAATTGTGGGGTTGGATTGGGCGACGAAGGTTGGGGAGGAATTTTTTTCTTTGTTTTTCTAAATTTTGTATCAATTGTATTTAATTTTGATTCATTTGTAATTTTGGAAAAAGATTTAGGGCTCCTGTTGCAATTTTTCCTTTATATATTTTTTTATTTAGCACTGGTTTGATCGCCATTATTATGGAAAGATGATATTTTAAATAGTGATTTTGGAGAACATGTCGTTAAAAAGTGGGAAAAAGTTTCAAATTTACGTTCAAAATATTTTATTTGTAAATGTGTGATTGAAAATAAGTATGAAAAATAAATCATTTTGTTCTAAATGGAGTCAACTAGGGTCTTAGTTGCTTTTTGTGTTTATTTAAAGAGAGGGCAAATTCTTCATTTTACGTGACTTTAATGGTCAAAGTGGACAAAAAGATGGATTTTGTTATATTTTCAAAAGATTAATAATGTCTATTGCTTAAAAAAGGTTGAAGGTAGATTAGTATCAATTTGCAAATGTTAGGGACTAAAAGTATAAAATTCCCTAAAAAGTCTCCTATGAATGCTCTTAGAGGTCCTCGATCTTTGCTTCATGTAGTACTTATTTCCCCATTTTTTACTTGTCACGTCCTTATCTTCGATGTTACATTAATTTGTATGTCTAGTCTGATGATACTTTACATCCAAATAGCCTAATAACATGATTTGAAGTTGGAGCAAATATGTAGTCGCACCTTTGTATTAAAATATGATAGATTAAGGATCTTTAATGCATATGGTAGAAAAATAAAACATTGTGAAACCACTCTGGACAATATGAATAATCCATTTTGGCATAATTCATTCTGCCCTTTAAAATCAGATTTTGAGTATATTTTGATAAAAATATATAAAATATGTAGTTAAGAAGTTACACATTTTATAAAATATGCAATTAAAATAAAGGGAAAACTGCAGTCACGGTACTAAACCTTTCACATTTTTGCAGACTTTGTCCAAACTTTTATTTTATGCCACCCACGGTATCAAACATTTGAACAATTCGCATCCATTTGGAATCTGATGCGAATTATTTAAAGGTTTGGTACCGTGGGTGACACAAAACAAAGAATTGGGCAAAGTTTGCAAAAATGTAAAAAGTTTGGTACCGTGACTGCAATTTTTCCTAAAATAAATTATTGACTTTTAATTTAAATTTAAATTTAATCTCTAACAAACAGGCACTTAATATAAATGTTGGATATGTTTGGAGTGTACCGGTGGATAATCAATGAAACTACTTGACATTCTTTTTAGCACCCCCATATGTTCATATCTTTGCTAGCCAGAGTAAAAATCAATAATTATGATAAATTTCATGTCAAAAGATGTCAAGCTTAGGGTGTGTCTGGGCACGCGATCCATTAAAATTCGGACTGTTAACGAGCAAAAATCGAACCGTTGCTGATTTTTTAATTCAACATAATCTGACAACATTGAAGTACCAAGTCAGGCCATAAGACTCCAAATTTCCAATTTACCCTCCTCATTTGAGGTGAGAGAAAGATGTTAAATTTGCACATGGAGGATAATATGGTAATTTACTTCCAATTTGTGTAGTTACCGTGCAAAACTAACCCGTCAGTGGTAGTGATGGCAAAAAAACCCGCTCTGCCCTGCCGCGGCGCTGCCTCGCCCCGAATGGGGCAAAAAAAAACCCGCCCCGATGGGTTGGTGGGGTGGGGCGAGGAGGGGGTGCCCCGCTCCGAAGCGCCTCGAACCCGCCCCGTGAAGAATAAAAAAAATAATTACTTACAAATTAAAAACATAAAATAGTTAATTGGAAATTTTTGAAAAAAAAAATAATAAAAAGACCTTGTTTGGTAACACAAAAAATCCAATTAAAATTGAAAATATAGCCGTTATTGGGTCCCACCCGTTTAATAAAAGTCAACAATAACGGCTAATTTTTCAATATTAATCCGATTTTAATCTCTACTAAACACACCCTAAATAAACGGGACAGGAAATGAGGCAAGTTCGCACCCCAAACCTGCCCCGCCCCGCCCCGTCTAAGGTGGGACGGGACGCGAGGCGGGACGGGGTGGTGCCCCCGCCCCGTTGCCATCTCTAGTCAATGGGCCCTTCCAATTGTGGTATGAAATGCATGACGGAATTGTACTGACCTAATCAACATAAATATCTCAACTTCAATCACAAACTTTCAAAAAATTTTTGGAAATCTTGCATACTGCACCTCTAAATCTGTAGTTCATGGCTGAGTAGGGTAAATTGCATATTCTCATCTTCCCATGGCTGGCCTTCGGTCACTTGATTCCATATCTAGAGCTCGCCAAGCTTATAGCCCAGAAGGGCCACAGAGTCCCCTTTGTTTAGACTCACAGAAACATTGAACGCCTTCCCAAACCGCCCCCAAATTTAACCCATCTAATAGAATTTGTCAAGATTCAATTGCCAAAAGTTGATAGTCTACCTGAAAATGCAGAAGCCATGTTGGAGTTGTGACATTTTGTTGTCACATGAAGAATTGTATTTTTATTGTAATATAGTTTGTAGCTAGTTTAGTTGAAATGTCTAACTAAGTTGATGTTAAGTTAGACTAGATTATAACTAGTACAACACAAAATAGTAAATCATTATACAAGTAAAGTAAGTTCTAGTAGCAAAGTTGAAAGCTACTACTTGCAAGTGGATAGTCAAGAGGTAGAAAATATCTCTAAATATCTTGTAGAATATCTAGTAAGTTTGGCTATAAATGGTGTCAATTTGTAAGAGAAAAATATGTGGGAATAAATGAAGGATTTGTTATAGAAAAACCATCTTTAACAATGTAGAACTCAAAGCTCCTTCATCATCTGATCTGTTTTTCAAGGACAGCAGAGTATATGCATAAATTCATATGTTTTTTTTATGTTTTATGCTGGTAAGAAAGCCAGTAAGCTATGCATTAACCGGTATACAATTCATGTTTTGTTAAGTCTTCAATACACTCCTCCATACACAAAATCAAAGATGTTAAGAGCTCTCTTAAAAGAGTCTTAGATCAATGTCCAAATCCCAACATGGTATCAGAGCATAAATGATCTTGGAAAGGGGCCTGAGGTTGAAAAAAGAAGAAGAAAAAGTTAAAGAAGCTGAAAAAAATGGGAAAAGCTGAAAAAACAGAGAAATCTGGTGGAAAATAAAGCTGAGAAGTGGTTGAATCTGGTATGTTTTTGCAAGGATTTAGAGTTGAAAAACTAATCTTTGAAGATTAGAGCTGAAAAAATAAATCATTAGCATCAAACAATTGAAGAAAATCAGCTGAGAAAGTGCTGAAAAAGGCTGAAAAACAGAGCAAAAACAGAGCATTCTTTTGTCAAATCCGGTGAGTTCATGCATATACGGTAAGATTATTGCAAATACGGTGAGCTCCTTGCAAATTCGGTAAGTGCCCTGTTTTTCTAATAAACCAGTAAGACCCTTGCAAATCCGGTTAGCTTTGTGCATATATGGTACGGGCCTTGCATATACGGTATGCTTCATGTAAATCCGGTATATGCCATATACAGTATGCAAATGTAAATCCGGTAAGTTGATACAAATCCGGTAAATTCAAATATTTTTGATTAACTGTAAAAACAGTAAACAAGAGGTGAATCCAGTAAGATCAATGTATAACCAGTAAATTCAAAATTCAACTGTAAACTTCTTCTTCTCAATAAAAATCAGAAAACCTAGGAATGACTCTCTCAGATGAAGCTGTTGTCAAACTGAAATGAAGATGCTGATAATGACGAAAAAAATGAAAATGTTGCTGAAGAAATGAAGCAAAACCAGTATGATGAAATCAGCTGCAGACTTCAACAAAAATCTGAAGAGAATTACCATGAAGAGGGAACTTCAAATGACCTTTAAAAAGGTGCCAGAAAACATGATGAAAGACAAACCTGGAGAGCTCAAAAATCAGCAGCAAAACCTGGGAAATGAATATATCAGATGGTGATGAAAGTGGTTGAGAAAAAGGAGTGAACCAGTTTGCAAAAAATTCTGATGCTGAAGTCTGAGAAAATCAGAAGAACCTCAAGTTGCTGTGA